TTTTATTGATTTTTAAACCTTTAGAACTAATTATTGGAACTTAAATTTGGTTTTTTAAGTTCAGTGACCCTTGATCTCCATACACAGGTGACTCCAATTATGAGAAAGGGCATTTAAGGAGGGCAATAGTAAGTTTTTCTCCTCTTTGCATCTTCTCTGAAGAGTCGCAGCATGGGAGTCTCAAAACAACTTTCAAATGACCTGAAAACAAAGATTGTTGACCGTCATGGTTTAGGGGAAGGATACAGAAAGCTATCTCAGAGATTTCAGCTTTCAGTCTCCACTGTGAAAAACATTGTGAGAAAATGGAAGACCACAGGCACAGTTCAAGTCAAGGATCAAAGTGGCAGACCAGTAAAAATCTCCAATAAACAGAAGCGAAGGATGTTGAGAACAGTCAGAGTCAACCCACAGACCAGCACCAAAGACCTACAACAWCATCTTGCTGCTGATGGAGTCACCGTGCATCATTCAACTATTCAGCACACTTTACACAAGGAGATGCTGTATGGGAGAGTGATGCAGAGGAAAACTTTTCTCTGCCCACATCACAAACAGAGCTGCTTGAGGTATGCTAAAGCATATTTGGACAAGCCAGCTTCATGTTGGAATAAGGTGCTGTGGACTGATGAAACTAAAATAGAGTTATTTGCATGCATTGACGAAAAAGAACACAGCACACCAAGAAAAACACCTGCTACCTATAGTGACATTTGGTGGTGATTCCATCATGCTGTGGGGCTGTGTGGCCAGTACAGGGACTGGGAATCTTGTTAAAGTTAAGGGACGCATGGATTCCAATCAATATCAGCAGATTCTGGAGACCAATGTCCAGAAATCAGTGACAAAGCTGAAGTTGCACCTGGGCTGGATCTTCCAACAAGACAACCACTGTAAACACTACTCAAAATCTACTAAGTCATTCATGCAGAGAAACAATTACAACGTTCTGGAATGGCCATCTCAGTCCCCAGACCTGAATATTATTGAAAATCTGTCGTGTCACTTAAAGAGAGCTGTCTGTGGTTGGAAACCATCAAACCTGAATGAGAAGAGTGGTCTAAAATACCTTCAGCCACAATCCAGACTCTCATTAGAAGATGTAGGAAGTGTTTAGAGAATGCTATTTCTATGAAAGGAGGATCTACTAAAGTAAAAAAAATTGTATAGGTCCTCTGGACGGGTTCTTCTTTAATGAAACGTTTCGTCTCTCTTCCAAAAGACTTATTCAGTCTGAGAGTTTCAGGCAAAATTCAGGCTTTTGAGTCCTGCCTCCAGGTGACTGATACTCACATCACATGGCTATCGCTCACAGGTGATATCACATGGCCATCGCTCACAGGTGACTGATACTCACATCACATGGCTATCGTTGACAGGTGATATCACATGGCCATCGCTCACAGGTGACTGATACTCACATCACATGGCTATCGTTCACACCTAATATCACATGGCCATCGCTCACAGGTGACTGATACTCACATCACATGGCTATCGTTCACACCTAATATCACATGGCCATCGCTCACAGGTGACTGATACTCACATCACATGGCTATCGTTC